GGGAACAAGACAGATATTTTTTCCTGTAAAAGTGCAGCGCAAGATATTTTTTTCCAAATATATTTCGCGGCAGGATATTTTTTTTGCCTCTCATAATAACGGGCTTTCATATAGCTATCGTCAGAGACGTTGTGACGTAGCCGGGGTTTTCAGTCAGAGGAGGCCGAGAACTGAATCCCAAGAGGGGCCAAGGAATTTTCACTGTGCTTTATTTTATATGGTTATGTCTTAATGTTCCCCACACTAAAGCGTGCAGGTTTACTTACAAAAAATGTATAACTGCACCAAATCCGAAAACATGCAGGAATAGAGTAGAGTACTCGAAAATGGGGGAGGTACAGTATATGGATGACCTGTAACCTTGGGGGGGGGGGTTCGGGGGCATACTCCCCCGAGAAAATTTTAAAATTTGAACCTCGGAAATGCTACTTCCTGCGTAAAATTTCAGCCATGGATTCGTCTTTGCTGTACTAAGCCTAAGGAACACTTACTGTCCTTTATTTTAAACAAGGGAAAATCACAAAATGAGCTTTGATTAATATGTAATAAAACAAGATTTCAATAATGTGATTTTTAACTGCCCTCCGAAACAACAATGTTCCACCAAATATAGTTCTGTAGCTTTTCAATCATTCATACAGATAGCTTGTTGGGGATCGGGTTGCATCCTCTTCTGAAATTTTTTAAAATCTAGATTCTCTAAACTGGCATTTTGGCATTAAAATCATCGTATATACAGTACGTTCAACTTGCATCCTGTAGATGGGCCTTTGAAGCTTTAATAGTTTGGAGCGCTATGTTATCAAAAAACGCACACAGACTCAACCATCCAAAAATACTTTTTCTACCATGCATATTAGATATGTATAAATAATTTATAAACTTGTACATATCTTAATCCCAGATTTTCTCAGTGGGGGGCAACAATTTTGCCAGGGAACGCCACTGGCTATCGTATGTTATAGGCTCCAAAGGCGGTAGAATCCCTGTGATGTTGTCCACTGTTCACCATGTGTTCTTTTAAGCAAATGTGCCTGCTCAAAAATGCAAAATCTTACAAGCCTGTGGACACAATACTGAAGTGAAGAACGTCAGTAGATTTACATGTAGGAATTTTTTTTGAGCGCTCTCTTTTGCATGATATTTTTTTATTCTCGATTGTATGCTGCATGATTTTTTTTCTTTCTCCTTGGATTGCAGGAAATGTTTTTTCGAAATCTTCCAACCCCCCCCCCCTAAAAGATCAAATGGTCCGCCCCTTACACAGTTTTACTCGTCTTTTAAGCCACGTGTTGAAAACAAAAATTTCTTCACTCCTTGGCGTGAGCCCTTCCTACACCCCCTAAGTTAGAGTTTGTCAAAATTTGCATGCGCGAGTCGGTATGCGCAGTGCAAATTTCGTGTCAATTTATGGCAGGCATCTCACCCATAGATATCTTATACACACTAGACAGTGCATCTAATTATTCTGCAATTCAAAAATTGAAGCCGTGATTGCAGATTCAGGATATTCCCATTAAATAAGAAGACTCGTATGTTTTCTATTTCCTAAACAGGGAACTTAAATTAAACGTCATTAAGTTAAACCTATTCCAAATACATTTTCAAACTATTGAAATGATGAAAGTTATTGTTGTTTTTTAAGCGTTTATTAGCGAGTGGGAAACTCCACATGACCGCTATCTATTAACTTAGGTAACCGCTGGTAACCGCTTAATTAGGTAACCGCTGGAATATTCTTGGCTTCAATTTTACTAAAAGAGATGCGAGCGCGAAAGGCTGCTGGGAATCGCTACGAAATTCATTAATTTGTTTCGACTTTTCCGCTTTGCTCGTGGACAACCTTAATTGAAATAGCTGTATAAGGCCCGTTTCAGACGGCGTACTTCTCATGTGCCGAACTTAATTGATGAATTAGGTACGGCAGAAGAGCGACGTATGAATCAATTAAGTACGGCAGAATTTGGAGCGGCAAAAGTTCGACACAAGTAAGATATCTATATGATCTCACCAAACTACTTTAATTAATTTAGCTATGAAGTGCTATAAAATTTTACGTTTGTGTGTGAAATATAATTCAGAATTAATTCATGGTTGTCGTATAGTAACTATACACTATAAGGTGTAATGTATAAATGTGGCTTTTCATGATCAAATGTGTCTATAGATAAAGCCCGCTATTGCCGAGAGAATTCATAATTTTCCATTGAATTCAATTCATGAGCCCCGCTCTCCCCTACTGAATATCAAATCGCTCCCCGTGCTTTAAGACTAGTTTCCATTTGGTCGTTAGTTGTCGCTGGCACGACAAGAGGTAGATGTGAAATAGTCTAATATCAATAGTCTTTTTGTGTGTTATATATGCAAATCAGTCTTAAAGATTGCAGAGTTTTATAAAGTTTTGTTGACACTCTAGCTATTACATCAGCCACTTGTCGTGCCAGCGACAACTAACGACCAAATGGAAACTAGGCTTAAAGGCAGCGTTTAAACTGTACCGTTTTCGTAGCGTTCTCGTATTGTTCTTAATCCTCAAGGGAACACAAGACAATAGTCTAGTTCTCTCGAACAATACGAGAACGCTACGAAAACGGTACAGTGTAAACGCTGCCTTAGGCAGCGTTTACACTGTACCGTTTTCGTAGCGTTCTCGTATTGTTCGAGAGAACTAGACTATTGTCTTGCGTTCCCTTGAGGATTAAGAACAATACGAGAACGCTACGAAAACGGTACAGTGTAAACGCTGCCTCAGACTGTCACCCCCAATAAAAGGGTACTTATGCTAAATACAGTCTTTTGAATAACAAAGAAAACCACATTAATCATATAACTGAATTCTTAAGATGTGCTCATGCATGCATACTGTGGCCGGGTAAGGATTGTGTATTCGCCGTATTTTCCAACACAAACCTATAGCATTGATAAAGCGGCTTTGATAAGGTAAGGTATAATTGGTATATGAACACGACTGTGACATTTTCTCTATATATACCACTATATAGCATACAATATCAATACGATACTTACCACCATATAACATAATATTGTGTGTTACGAGACTGCTATAGAGCACTCGACATCGTAAGGATATATAGTAACTGATATAGTTCGATTACCTACTAAGTTGCCACTGCAATCTGTTTTATATCGAATAAAGAATCTTCACCTGGATGCAACAAGTTGTAGTAGCAACTTTTAGGCAAGCTAGACCATGTATATTGGGACTTTCTTTAAGATATATGAGGTAATGAACGTATTAATACATTTGTGTACATAATGTAGATAAATATGAACCTATATATACCTGTCTGATATAAAGTAGCTATATACATGCAGAGACCCAATATTTCGAACAGCAAAGGGAAAAAGAAAGGGTTTGACATATTAATGGTTTCGAGTAGACTTGGATAGAATTTTGAACGGATTTTATTCGGGTTTTATACAGTGTAAAGGTACCGGCAAACATGCAAGTAGGAGGACAGACTTAAGGCGGGTCAAAAGTCTCCACTAAGAGAGTTGAAGAACAACACTTTGGGAGTCGTTTTAGGTCTTTTGAGGGGTCTTGTTTTGACTCTATTGAATATACATATATATATATGTATATATATATATATATGTATATATATATATATATATATATATATATATATATATATATATATATATATATATATATAATATTATATATATACATCATACGCATGTACCCTTTAAACGTTAACTTGGCTCCAGAAAATTTCAACAAATTCAAAGGGCAGGTTCGGAGCAAGTAGCCGAACCAGTGACAGTGTCAAATAAAGAAATAATATAAAGTTAAATTAACGTGGTGGTGGCTTATTTATAATGACCCATTGAATCATTGATACGACTTTTATATATATTATGAAATATACAGGGTGTCTAAAAAACGTGACACTTTAGAAATCACCCTTTTGTTGTAAACACCCAAACTTCCTCACCTCTGGGAGTTTAGAATGCATTGTAATCGTACGAGCATATTAAAACTGCATATTAAATTGTACATGAAAATTCTAATTGAAAGTTAAAACGACTTAGAAATTAGTCCCGTCAGAATGATTAAAAATGGTTCAACTGACTACAGAGCAAGGAGTATTTAATTAAATTTCAATTCCAGGTATATAATAACTCACTTTTAACAAATTAAGGCTGGCGCACACGAAAGCTATATCTGCATGCTGAGCAAAAATTCACTAGTGAGTAGTGACGACCATTGGCGTAAGCTAGTTCCCCCAGTTTTAACATAATGTCCAGCCAGGCTTTAGCAAAATGTTATTCGTGACTGTAGGCGTATAAGGGAAAACTCGCTTGTGCGGTGCACTTAAGGTGATTTCTAAAGAGTCATCTTTTTAGGCACCCTTTATTGATAAGCACTTATTACTTAAGCTGAACTGCATTCTCTATTATATATTCCGTTTTGCGTCCTTGACGCTTCAAAATAAAAAACTTACGTAAATTATTTTTCCTAATAAAAACGAATTCAGTCTATAAGGTTCGAGATAGTGTGGAGTTTGGTATAAGGTAAGTGAATT